AAAGAAAATAATGACCAAATTCATTTGGAAAAAACAAACGTTTTAAGAAAAAATTCGGTTGTTGGATAGAATAAAGATGAAGAGACCAAAGTAAATTTGTTCCAGATCAAATTAAACAAGAAATCACATGTTTATCTAGAACTTAATTTTTGCTGTTGTTAATGATTTTATACACAAGATCTGAGTACTGAATTTTATATATATGCATAAGTACACAGATATATGGTTAATTGGCTGAATTAAGTGCATTACATTTTGTCATACTATATGTTTATACATAACAATAAAAACTATGATTCATTTCAAAATTCTTGTGGTAAAAGATAAGAGTTACTAGGTAATTAACGTTGGAAAGAAAAATGAAGGCTCTGTTTTGAAAAGAATAAAAATAAAAATACTTATTTTCTGTTATAATTATTATAGAATTATATCTTATTTAATTATTAGTTATTGCTGTTCATCTCTTACTGTGCTTAATTTTGAAATACTTTTTTAAAGTATACAGGACACAGGAACCTGGGAGCTGTGGGCCTTCCTCAGCCATGTCTGAGAGGCATGCAGAGTTTGGGAGTTGGGGAGACTGGAGGGTAAAGACTCTAAGAGTTTGGACTGTTAAAACCAAAGGGGCAGGGCTGGCCCNCGGTCAGTAAAAAAGACAAAAAGGAAAAAAAAAAAAAAAAACCAAAGGGGCAGATGACTTAATTCCAAAAAACATGGCGATGGTAAATGGAATTAGTCCCCAGAGTCTCGTTACAAGTACACCAGCTGGTGCCCAAAGTACCACCAGGTCCTGACCGCTCCACCCAGCTCCTGCTCCAACATTTCTGGTAGTCACTGATCGAGAGGAAGCCAGTCCTCGTGGCTGCAGCAACCCGCAGAGCCGTGGAGTGAGGCCACTTCTATGGCTCTGAGCACCCAGCACCCTGGGAGCTCAGGAACCCAAGGAGGATAAAGGGGGAGGTCAAAAATATGGATTTTAGAATGTATAAACAAAATCCACAAGGAGCAACCAAGAGAATGAAAATATTTCTGGGCTCACATCTGACATTATAAAATCCTTTCAAGAAGGTACAACTAGGAAAGAAACGAAGGGTAACTACAGAAAAGAATGGAGAAAAGCCCCTGCAGGAGGAAAGGAGCACAGGTAAGCCCACACTGCCGATGAGCTCAGGTCCCACCGCCACTTTCCCTCCTGCTGGTCACACAGCTGCCCGATGTAAGTCACATCACAGGCAGAGAAGGATCGATCCGGGAGGGGATGAAGGGTGCGTTCAGCTTCCTGTCAGAGGTGAGGAAACCGAGAGCCAGAGCGGCGAGCCCCTGTCCACAACCACCCCGCCAACCAGGAGGCCACAGATCCTCTGCCCGGGGCCCGAGCAGCCCCTCCCCCCTGCACAACACACAGCCTCGTCAAAGGTCATCCCAGGTTAGTCCTAGGAGAGGGGCAAGGTTCTCTAGAAAAAGNGCGGCGAGCCCCTGTCCACAACCACCCCGCCAACCAGGAGGCCACAGATCCTCTGCCCGGGGCCCGAGCAGCCCCTCCCCCCTGCACAACACACAGCCTCGTCAAAGGTCATCCCAGGTTAGTCCTAGGAGAGGGGCAAGGTTCTCTAGAAAAAGGACCATGGACAACAAACAATACTCCTGGGCCCTATTTTTGTGGTTATTACTTACTTCGAGCAGTAGGCCTGGAAAAATAATTCCTGTTCCCTCCCTGCATATCACCATCTTAACAACCTAAACTAGAATCCTTTTCCACGGTGTATGACATGCTGGCAAACGTTTACATTTCACGAGAACGATGTTCTATTAAGTTTTTTAATTAGGAAAAATTTAAACACCCATGTAAGTAAAGAGTCATCCCCGCCCCCCATCCAGATTCATATTGTGCTCTTTGGGAGAAAAAAAATGACAGCTTTGAACTGCTCAGAGTGGTTTAGAAAGAAATAACTCGGCCCCCTTTCCTCAGTGAGGGGAGGATTCCCGCACGCAGGTGGCATTGCTGCTGCCGTGTGGGGACACTCCTGCTTTCTTTGATGGCAGTACCTGAACGTGCCCGCCTCCTGGAGGGCATCCTGATTCGAAGCTTCCCTCACCACCCACTCCTTCAGGCTGTGGAGGTGGTTCTCTTCTTGCTTCTTTAGAAGGATGTGGAGGCGTCTCTTGGATTCCCGCAAGAAAGAGGCTGTGGAAAGGCAGAAGAGATGAATGTTCAGCAGAGCCTCGGGCTCTGGGATGCTTTCTGACCCACGCCACCAGGAAGGGGAGCCGCTGGCCTTCGGCCAGGCCGATGCTAGAGCAAACTCCAGAGATGCTCTCAGACGCCGCTGTGACAGCTGCAACCTGTCAGCACTGGGTGGGACGCTGGCACTCCCCAAGTAGGGCCTGCACTGGGCAGGGTGGGAAAGCGGAGGAGCCATACCACTGTGCTCGCTGTCTTCACTTAAGAGACCAAGGAGAATCTCGACTCTCCTCGTGCTGCGCTGGCAGCTCTCGTTCTCATCTCGGAGCATCCCCACAGCACTCTGCACACAGCTTCTCAGCAGTCTGGTGGTGTCCAGGACCTGAACCTGTCGATGGACACAGCTGAGTCTTCTGTTTCTGCTACTCACACGGTGGGCACAAGCCAAACTACCCACACGAGACGAGGGTCTCCATGTAGCATGCAAGAAGCACAGGGTGGGGGTATCATCATGGACAAAGATCTGTCCTACTGCCTGGGGGTCCACATGCCCTTGCCCGATGCCCCTGGGAACCAACTACAAGACAGTCACTTCTGCTCTGGCTGGGACAGAGCAGAGCTAACTAGGAAAGGGAATGCCAGACCTTGTCCTGGTAATCTGCCTGCACTTCTAGTATAGAGGAAAGAGAGGTGTCAGCCTAACCCCTAATGTGTGCACAGGTGCGTCATTCCTCAAACTCCTAGTGGAAAAGTATAGAGGTGCAGCCCCACGTGTCACCCAGCAATACGCATGGAGCCCAAGAACTCACAGCACTGCCTCCCGGCTCAGAGGTTTCATCTCCCGTCTGCTCAGGGCTCTCTGTTTCCATTTCCTCCTCTGCCACCAGTCACTTCTGCTCTGGCTGGGACAGAGCAGAGCTAACTAGGAAAGGGAATGCCAGACCTTGTCCTGGTAATCTGCCTGCACTTCTAGCATAGAGGAAAGAGAGGTGTCAGCCTAACCCCTAATGTGTGCACAGGTGCGTCATTCCTCAAACTCCTAGTGGAAAAGTATAGAGGTGCAGCCCCAAGTGTCACCCAGCAATACGCATGGAGCCCAAGAACTCACAGCACTGCCTCCCAGCTCAGAGGTTTCATCTCCCGTCTGCTCAGGGCTCTCTGTTTCCATTTCCTCCTCTGCCACCTCCCCTGAGCTGCTGGTCTCTGCCTCCATCTCCTCCTCATGGTCATCTTCTGCCCTGTGTCCTGTCTCCACTGCAATAGAAGCAAACACGATCTGTCACCATTCGGAAGAAGCTGGGGACACCAGCAGCCCTGTCTGTGCGTCTAGGTGCTTAGGCTTGACTTTCCAGGCCTGCCTGGTCCCCAGCTCCACTGGCTGCTCTCCAGATGAGAGGACATGTGTCATGCAGATCAGCCCCAAATCTACCCACTTCATGTGGTTCCCCGGGGGCAACCCCTCAGGGCCAGCCTGGGCTCTGAGGGCTGATGCAGGAGCCAAGGCAAGCAGAAGCAGACACACGGTGTAGGCGCTCACCTCCAGGGCCTAGGTACTCACAAAGACATCTGTGTGGGGATGTGGGACCTTCTGCTTGGCCCTGGTCCTCAGCACACATGTCCCTGCCTGCCAGCACCACCATGTACATAGCACCCAGCACCTCCTGTCTACACCTCCACCACCATATCCCCAAAGTCCTCACTGTGTGACTCACACTCATGTGTGTCTCCTGGCTGGAACAGCTGGCTGATGGTGACTTTCTGCAGTTTGGTCACATTCACCACCATATCCCCAAAGTCCTTACTGTGTGACTCACGCTCATGTGTGTCTCCTGGCTGGAACAGCTGGCTGATGGTGACTTTCTGCAGTTTGGTCACATCCGAAACCATGACTGTGGATCTCCGGAGGTCATCAATGTGCACCGACTGCCACAGCCCTGCCGAGAACCAGGCCACCAGGATCTTCTCGTGTCTCCCTTGGCTGCTGCTTGTCAGTCGTAAGCAGGGACACACTACAGGTCTGACTACTGATCACAGTGCTGCTACATGAATGACTGGTACTCTAAAGTCTAAACCTTGGTCCCCTTGGATATACTTACACAGAAACTACCTGACCCGTGATGTTTATCTGTCAACGAGTTTAAGACAAAGATTAGTTTTAAGACCTGTGACCGTGACTTGAGAAGGACCTATGGATGAGGTCTGTGACTCTTTCTTATGTGTTATTTTATTTGCTGTGTCATAATCAGTAAAGGGGTGTCAGACACTGCAAGTTTTGCCTTCCATAATCTATGAAATTATTAGACTAACCCGTTGTTTTCCTTCTTCTAGAATACCAATTTTCTGTGGAATAAACAGCTGGTGACCATTCCTCAGAAAGAGAGATTTCTCCTCCCCGCAAAAGCAGGCACAAAGCTTCAGTGTATTCATGATAGTGTTAGTCAAGAATATCTCTTCTGCATTACCCAGATAATAAAAGGCGAGGAACCAAGAGACTAATCAAGAGTTTATCTACAAAAGTGCATAAAGGAAAGGCTACAGGTGGCAGCATTGTCTTAAGATTAGTGTTTTTTACAATAAAAGATCTAATTGCATCCGAAAAGAATATTATTGAGATCAACATTAATATTCTAATTTCAGACACACACAACATAGGACCAAGTGAGAAATAAACATTATTTAAATAAACACATTTACTGATATTCCGCTCCTACCTCCATGGAATCCCACATAGGATGTTCCACTTGCCATCCGGGACAGTTTTGTAATGAAATAGACTAAGATACAGTCCTTGTTTCCTTGTATTTTGTTGATTTCATTTATGGCAGAATACCTATTTGAAAAAACAAACAAAATCAAAACAAGCAAATAAACAAAAGCAAAGTAGTGGAATGGCTGGAGAGGGTTCTAGGTGCTGTTAGGTTGAATCTCCTACTGTGATTAGCTTTAAATAAATCTCACACCCCCATGACTGGTTTCTTATCTCACGGGAGAATGAGGAGACGTTCTCTTTTAGGAGGCTAGTTTCCTTCCCCAGTCCTGCGTCCCTCTGCTTTGAAGTGGCATTCCAGTATTGACCAGAAACCCTGTCTCGCACTTCTCAACAGGCTTGCCTTGATGGGACTAAGGACAAGGCTGGCTGAACTTCACACTTCAAGAAAGCGTTCTGTGCATGGTGCAGTTCAGATGGCCGAGGGCCAAACTCAGCCATGAAAAGAAATGCAGCTTCCAGTGCTTTAAAATGATCCAGAAATCACTTTTACTTTAACATTAAGTAATAAGGGGACATAGTCAATTCTAAAAGATCAGATTTCTCCTACAAATGCACTGACCAATAAATGTGAACGAAAGCATTTACCTGCTGTTGTTACCCTTGAATTTGCAATAAATTCAAACTGTGTAATTCAAAATTAACAATTTCCAAAACATGTCTGTAAACGTATGCTTCAAGGATATTCTTTTCTGAGTAAATCCTATTAACAGTCTATTTATTATCTACACTTTTTGCATTTTGCCATTTCTGTATTGTTATTAGCCTTTTCTTTTTGTCTCTCCCTTTGGGGAAATGAGAAGGGAGAAAAATTATTTTTACTTTTATTTCTATATTTACAATGATACTACATCTTCAGGGAAGAAATTCTTTTGGAGCTCCCAATCCAACTTCGGGTTTCCTATGTAGCTTCTGAGAAAAATACTAAAAACATACTTAGCCGACGCAATGAGCTGAGCACTGTGAACTCCATCTTCAAAGTCCATTTGAATGATGAGGATTTTACATCTGGCTGTATTAGCTAAGCATTTTCTGAAAGAAAAAGGGAATTATTCAAGTGAGTTCCCTGTCTTAAAAAATGGATAACAAAATCCCCCAAAGCGATGGGAAATACAAAGACCACACAAAAAAACTTTCCAGGTGGGATTTTCCTCTGTAAGGTGAGATAAAGAAAAAAAAAAAAAAAAACCCCCCAATAAATGTCTCCTACTGAGATGTAAGGATGGTGGTTTCAGGAGGAAGTTTACAATAGGCAGAGGCGGACAGAGAAGAGAGGTTGCTCAGAGAATTTAACAACCCTCCTGCCCAGAGCCCTGCATCCTCAGCATGCACCAACTAGCACTGGTTACCCCGGCCACACGGCCAGCACACACCATCCTCAGGGCTGGACAGAAGTATTGGGGGTGGGGACAAGGCAGCTCACCGGACTTCTTTGAGAAATGAGTGCTCGGTGTCGAACTGCTGCAGCGACAGGACTGTGGGTTTCGGAGCCCTGCCCTTTACCTCTGATTCTAAAATTTCACAGTCATGGCTCGTTAGCAATCTGGAGAAAGTGGTGATCTGCAAAGTCAGAAGATGCAAATTACTTGCCACAATTCCAGTACAGGTTGCTTGTCTGCTCGGTTCAGATCTTAGAAGTACAAGGCTGTGCACTGATATTTCCTATGGGCTCAGCACTGTCGTGGGCTGCATAGACAGAAAAGGATCCAGACTCAAATGGGTTTTCACAAACAAGGCAGAGTGAGAGGAGCAGAACCTTCATGATCACAAGGTATGGGAAAGAAGACTTCGCCCTCTCCAAAGATGCCTCGGTCTCTTTCCTAGATGCCAATGTCTCTTCCTGCCTTGGTCCCTGCTTGAGATTCTTGTGGTCATTTGGGGCTCAGCACAAACGCCACTTCTCCTCGTGATCTGGCTCCGTGCTCTCAGGAGGAGTCAGAGGGGCAAGTCCCCTCTACCATGGATCGTGCCCCGCAGTGAGAACCAGAACATCCCTGAGGGTGAACCAATCCCACCGCTGGGCCTGGCCTCCCAAAGAGCTTCGGATCCCTACATCCACCTGTACGACAGACACCAAAACACACCCCAAATGGGCTTTACCCTTGTCTCCTCCAAACCTGTTGCTTCTTCCGGGATTCTCTATGATAATGAAGCAAGCCTCTAGTCACCTAAGGAGGAACGCAGGAAGCTGTCCCGGGACCCCCCATTGCCCACACCCTACCATGGAGTCGGGTGTCAGCCCTGCCAGTTCACGTCCTGTTTCTCAGTTCCACTTGCTCCTCTGAACTGTCCCAGCAGCCTCCCTGCGGGTCTGTCTGTCCTATGACAGTCTGTTCTCAGACTCCATTACCTAGGCTGCAGGAAGCGTCTTTTTTTTTTTTTTTTATCTTCTAAACCACTAAAGAAAATTCAAATATGTTTATTATAGTCTCAGTAGTATTTATCTTTACAGTAGGACGTGTCTTAACACACAGTCCTCCAAGGCTGTCCTCCTTACAGCAAAGAACGAGATCATAGTGCTATTGACAAGGCCACCCAAGCACCCCTGCTGCCCATAGCTCAGCCCCCCTCAATAGTCCCCTCGTGGCCTCCTGCACCAATGATGCTGTTTCACACCTGACACTACCCCACAGTCCTTTCCCAGCACCCCTCACAGTTGGCTCAGGGCCCCTCTGACAGCATATCACACCCAACCATGTCTCTTGATCTGTGCTGCTCGCCACCTCTGCAGGCTGCACTTATGCACTTACCACACCACGTGTGGCATCCATTCACGTCTGTCTGCCTACATGACACATGTGCTGACCAAGGACCAGAACTGTGCCATTTTCATGCCCCCAATGCCCTTGGCTCAATACTCAAAAGTGGTACTTCGTTTGTTGAAGTGGATGTTGTGTACAGAGCTGCTACTGAGATAGGAGGTGCTCAGTTTCCCCCCGCTCGGGTTTCAAGACGCACCTCTGGGTTTCCAGCCATGCCCTAAGGTCTCAGGCCTCTCCTCTGGACCCTCCCCTAAAGAAGAGTTACTGTTGCTTGTTGGACCTATTTTTGGCACCAACACAAGGAAACTGAGACCTCAGGGGGTTGAATTATGCAAACTCAGTGGCTGGGCATGCTCAGTAGGGAGGGGTTATAGAACACTGGTGGCCAAGCATGCTCAGTGGAGGAGCGTTGAATCCTTTGAATGACCCTCCACTAGAGGCACTGGAGAGCACTGAATATTCCAGGTGTTTTCTAGTGGGAAGGTTGGAATCCAACCAATGAGCAAGCTCTAAAAAGAAACCGAGCATGTGCAAGACTATGTCACATGACTGCAAACCACCCCCCCTTAGTTGAATATTCACTAGGTAGCACCAATATGTATTAGGTATCAAAACTATAAAAGTTGAATCCCGGCAAAAGGCAGGGCTGCTGCTTACTCTATTAGCTGGCACTTAGCCTGAGGTGTATTTCTTTCTTTCTGTATCAAACTTGCCTTTAGCAGGCTATGCTCACTCTGGGGCCAGTCTGCACTTTGTCTGTGAATATGTATTTCCCACTTTTCTACCAAACTTGCTGCAGTTGGTTGCTCACCTTCCTGGAGCCCACCCATACCTCCCTGAGAGAGGTGTGCACTTTACTTTCGTGTTAAGCTTACGGCTAAGGGCAGCTGCTCACTCTCTTCGGCCAGCTACACTTTGCACTCAACATTAGGTGTGCATTTCTTACCTTTGTGTTCAACTGGGTGCAGACCCTGCTCAGTCTCTGGAGATAGGCCATACTCTGTAAAACCTATACTTCTTATCCATTAAACTTTTTTTCACTTTGTACTGTGACTCTGTCCTTGAATTCTTTCCTGTGGCGGAGTCAAGAACCTGCCAGAGGATGTGGTGGGTTGAGGCCAGTTACCAGGCCTTCACAGACCCTCTCCTCCAGTATCACTATCAGCACAGAGCACTGCACAGAAACAGGCACTCAAAACTTGGCTAAACTGAACTGCCATAAATACTCAGTTCTCCTTGCACTTAACACAGAACCAAAAGTCTCAGCATATCCATCTATGATCCCTGTACACTGACATAAAAGAACCTTGAGTCCTAACACCAGGGACTCAGGACTCTCAGGTGGAAGTGGACAGGATAAAACTGCAGAAAGATAATCACCTCTGTGAAGCTGATGTGGCGTTCGGGATCCATGGCGCGAAGGTGAGCCTGAAGGAGGTCCGTGAAGGAGTCATGCTGCTGCTTGTGGTAGTACTCTCGCGACAGTGACTGCGCCGCGAAGGGGCCCAGCGAGGAGGCCCTCAGCCGCACCACGGCGTCAGGCGTGGCACAGTCCAGCAGGATCAGTCTGGCCTCCTCGGACACTCTCTGGTAAAGCTCCTCGGTCAGGGCCCTGGGCCCCTGCCTCTCTACGACCTGCAGCACCACCGAGGCACAGGCGTCAGGGTGGAAGCCGATGAAGACGTCGGGAGGGCTGTACCTAGGTCTGGCTACAAACTGCTGTGCTTTCACGTCCACAAATTTCTCCACCCAAATCTTGAGCTCTTCCACGATGTTCTTCTGCCATTTCTCCAGCACAGTGTTGATATCCAGGTAGTGCTTCTCCAGCCGGTTAATGAGGGGGATGGGAAAATGTCTGTACACAACGTCTTTCTCTTCAACGACTATCAAGCGGAAGTCGGGGTGAACCCGACATTTGACACGATGGGTCCCCAGACCAAGGTCCACATACTTCTGCCCGCCGAGGTAGACGTAGTACTGGTTGAGTGCATCATAGAGGCTCTCGTAGAGGTTCTGCAGATTGAGCAGCACTATCATCTTGCCAGTTTCCATGCAGATTTTCACCCGGTTGATATTCCTGCAGATCTGGGTGTACTCTTGGTCCTTGGGAAAACTGGAACCAAAAATAATTTCAGGCTGCTGGTCCTTACGGAAGAATGTCTGCTGTAGGATCTGCAGGGCCACGTAGTTTCTGGTCAGCACAAGCAGGTAGCGGGATTCGGCCTCTTCCCGCTCCCTACCTGGCCCCTTCTGAAGGGCCCCATAAAGGTTCTGCTTGATCAGCTGCATGGTGCTGACCTCTCCTGAGTACTCTACCTCAGGTAAATTGGCCATAAAAATGTCCAAAGCACAGATGTCATCTTTGCCACTGAAATTCCGCAGAACAGCCTGGGCAATATCTCGTGGGGAAGGTTTTTTATTAGAAGCTTTTGCTGTGGCAAAGACCATTTTGATGAGGCTGTAGTAGTCACGAAGCCCAAAGAATTCCTTGTCTTGGAACTTGCATACTGTTTCATAGGCTTTGGCAAAGGGTCCAAAGTACCCCTGGATTCGGTCTTGAACGAGGCTGTCTGAGGAGCAGATCCCCTTGGCACTCTCTATGAGCTCCTGCTTGTTGGGACTGCCGCGTGACACAAAAATGCCCCGGTTCATCTTGGCGGGGTCGAGGGCCCAGTTGGAAATGCCTATGAAGCCAACTTTTTTGTGGGGGGCAGGATTGTCTTCAATGCATCCGTCTTCCAGCAGTGGGTGCAGAGCCTTCAGGGGCATCTTGGGTGAGTCTTCTGCCAGTCCAACCTCATCCAGCACCACCACAGACACATACTGCTGCAGGTCCTTACCCTGCTGAAAGCGGGCGCACTGCCTGAAGGTGCTGATGATGCCCTGCGGCGTGGAGTGTGGGCTGCACTGGAATGACACCAGGTGGACCTGCTTCAGGCTCCGGAAGAGATCTGAGTGGGCGGCCTGGCCTTGCATGGCATCTGCCACAATGGTCTTGGCAAGAGATTTGGAGCTGCCGGGCTTCCCGACCAGGAAGAGAGGAATCTTAAGCTCAATGCAGATAACCATCATGAAGACATTCTCCTTCAAAGCCAAGTTCCTGGCGATGGTATTCCTTAGTGGTACACCCTTCAGAAAAAGATCCTGTGTCCGAGTTATTTCATTCAGAATAACCTTGCTGTCATTATATGGTTCTGGAAGAAACCTGCAAATGGCTCTGCGATATGAGTCCTTCTTTTCCAGAGAAGCGTGATAACACACCCCGACGGCCAACACCAGGGACCAGAGGACAGGATCTCTCCCAAAGCTATCTCTGTTGAGGTTGGACTCACAGACAGAGGAGTTGAGCTTTAATAAGAGCACTTCGCTGTGGTCGAGAAACCATCTGAAAACCCTCACGCAGCGCTCCACGTCCCTGAGGCTCACGAAGCTGCATTCGTTCTCCCTCTTCCTCATGAAACCCTGGGAGGCAGAAAGCACTTCCGTGATCACCCGAGTCCTGCTCTCATCTAGCTCAACGGAGTCAACCAGTCTCTGGACAATTTGCTGGATGTAGAGCTTCTCAGCAGCATTGTTCAGTTGTCCAAAGTCCCACACCAGAGGAATCAGGCTCGGGGGTAGAGCATGGACTCGGTACACCAGCTGCCTGAGGGGGATGGAGCCAAGCCTTTCCAGCGTCTCCTCTGCATGGACCCTGTATCCTAAACCAGCTGACTCCAAACGGCAGATCATCTCCTGAGAGTGCTTCCGGTAAGGATTGCAGGCTGCTATGATATGCAAGCCCGAGTCCTCAGCCAGGGGCTGGCCATCCACGGTACGATCGCACAGGACTTCTTTGATACAGCTTATGGCCTCTGTTGTGTTGGCTTCATCAAAGAACAAGATGGTGTCCAGCTGATGTTGGTCCTTATTGATGAAGGCGATGTTCTCAGCCTCCTTGACTTTGGCACAGATCATCCCTGCAGTTGTTCCTCCGTGGACCTTGACCAGCTTCATAGTTTCAGCATCAGCACCACTACGCCGCAGGTCGCTAAGGAACTTAATGAGCCTGGTTTTCCCACAGCCGGTCTCTCCCATGATGATGACAGGAATTCCACACCGGAACCGCATTTCAATAGCGAGGATCTTAAGCATGTTGTCTGTTGTAAGCTCATATGTTTCATCAGGGTCCACGGGCCACTGGACCCCCAGTGCCATGCAAAGTCTTTCAAGTTTCTCATGTCGGGGAAGTTTATCAAAGTCCACATTGAAGGGTACCCTCTGGAGCAACAGACCCCTGTACAGTTCCATCGTCATGACGTCCCTCTTGATGACCTTCCCATTCAAGTGACTGATAGCATCCACATTCCCATTGTTGTTGGGCTGCAGATGGAAGCCTATGAATGTCATGGAAATATGGTCATTGTTGAAGAAAATGTAGGGATGGGGCTCTGACTCCCACCTCTTTCGGAGAGAGAAAGGGGCTAGATCTTCTTCCTTGACCCCGTCCATGGTGACTGTGTGCTTTCCTGGGCTTTGGTCAGAGGTGTGAAGTGTTGGTGTGGCAAAATCTCTTGCCATGAAGATCATGAAGGTGACCACAAAATTCTTGAAGCCCCTCAGTGTGTCTCCAATAAAATGTGGATTGCAGAAGAGAGAGGCCTCACAATCTTTGAGCTGATAATTCAGGAACCGGGCAAAATTCCGAAGCTCTGACCAGGATGGGTTTATCACTCCACAGTAGATCAGGAAATGTTGGAGGCATTCCTCTGGGGTGCCTTCGATAGAGCCTTCTTGGTATTGAAACATGTCTAGGTTTTGTTTTTGATGGAACCGTTGTAAATATTGGTAAGGTCTTTGGAAAGTTTCACTGTAGAACTCTGTCTGATCCATTCCAGGCTCCCTAAAATTGCTTTCAGGAGCCAGCTCCATATCTATCACTTCCTTGGGAGGCCTGCAGGTGACTTTTGGAAAAATGTCAATAAAACTGAACTGTGGAGCACGTGTACTCTGGAAAGACAAGAATAAAATGATTGTAACTAAATTTTTGAAAAAAAGCTTCTGTATTTTAACCCTCCACATGGTCTATCTTGGACAACCTTTATGGAAAAAAACACTTAAAAATATGTAGCTTTCAGTAGATTCGTTTTTACACAGGCTGTCTTTTGCACATTGAGGTACTATGGAAGCTGAATTTATTTTTTCTTTTGGCGGCTGGCTGGCACAGGGATCGAACCGTGGACGCTGGCGTTATGAGCACCACACTCTAACCATTGAACTCTTAATCAGGAAGCCATTCTCATCTAACTTCCTGAAACTAAATTCTCCCACTAAGCGTACACGTACACACATGTGCATATGAGCATAAAACTCCCTTTTGTTAAGAAGATTGGATAATGAAAGTCTCCTTCTCATCTTAGCCGGCCTTACAAAAGCTGACTTCTCTCAGAAGATAAATTTACTGTATTCAGAAAACAGCTGGAACTTAACCTGGACATAACTGCGTTAATCCTGAATCGAACAACACAAATTTAAGATACTGATAAAAATAGAAGAGGGTTTTCCTTCTAGACACTATTAAGAAAATAAATGTAAAGATTGATCTTTCCATACTAACTAGCCCTGCACTCAGCGGCCTCACCAAAGCAAAATGGGGAATTACCAAAACAGGTCACAGCTCTACCACGAGAACCGATGGAGCCAAAGCCCCTCCCACAGCCACCCGAAAACGCCCCGCAACACGGACCGGCTTTGAAGACCTCTTCGGCAGTACCGAGTTCCCTTCTGTGATTTCAACGATCAAAACAGGTCACAGCTCTACCACGAGAACCGATGGAGCCAAAGCCCCTCCCACAGCCACCCGAAAACGCCCCGCGACACGGACCGGCTTTGAAGACCTCTTCGGCAGTACCGAGTTCCCTTCTGTGATTTCAACGATATATAAATGACACGGCTTCCGAAGCCACATCTTCCCGTTTGTATCCATTAAGTATTGTAAAACGAGGAGTTTGAAAAGAAAGGCCCAAATTCCAGTCTGTACCTACGGAGAGAAAAGGCAGAGGCATCTGGGCTTGTATGTGCATGACAAGCCAACCGTTCTCCCAACCCTAAGCGTCGTTTTTTTTTCCCAACAGAATGATTATGATCATTAATACATGTGCAAGGGCACTTCAAAAGCTCATGAAAGGTAGAACTAAAAGATAATACGAATCTTTTCTAGAAAGAACTTCTTGATATTGGAGGAGGCAGGGCAGGATATGGGAATTATATGTCTTTACTGATGTGGCCACTCTGTTGAAATTTGAGGGCACTCACTGAAGAGGTCACATCCAGGTGGAATATCATGGGTGTGTCCTGATGCTGTGTGTCCAGGAAAGGCAGGAGGGAGCTCAGGACCTGGCTCTCGTCCACCTGAGGGTCGAACAGCCGAACTGTTTTGAGAGGCACTTTCTTGCTGTTTAACTTCCTTTCCAGTTTACCATGCAGTCTCTTCACGTAGAGAGACTTTCCTGTAACATTAAAACATGGAAATTAGGTCCCAGGGCTGTGGACAAAGGTAAGATCCAGGAAGACTTATTAGAGGATACTTCTCTTTGTGTAAAGTTAGAGACTAGTGCAACAAAACATCAGGTTCAAGAACACTCTGGACCCTCAAATGTCCTGGCTGTCACCTACCCACTGCCCTCACCATTTCCCTGCTACTAACGGCAGCAACCCAAGCACTATGAACGTAACAGCAAAGCATGCTGCACGGCAGGGGGAGTGATCTCTGTCCCAGCAGAACGCAGCAATGCTGGTAAGATAAAGTCACTAGGATGTACATTACCATTTCTTTTCAAAGGAAACAATGGTCACTCAAGGCAGGGACAAGAGGCACCAGTTTCCTCAGGACACAGCAGTCACACTCCCCTGCTCTCACAACTAACATCAACCCAAAGGGGCCAACGGAGTTAAGAGGAAAAAAGTAAATTACAGAGAAGTTTGCTTAGAGAAGGAAGGGAATGGGGCTCCCAGGAACTGGACAATTCAAGAATCCAGGCAAGAAAGGGTGTCCCGTTCTAGCCCAGGCCCTGATTTACAACTACCGATGAGTCAAACCCTCACTGAGACTCAGTTTCTCCACTCAGCTTACTCGCCCACTGCTGGGGAGGGAAGGCTCATCAGGTGGTCCCTGGGAGGCAGGGGACCCATGTGGGGGACCCATCCACCCTGGCTGTCCTCATTACCAACACCCGCTCTCTCTGAGGTCACGATCCCAACACACATCCTGTCCCTGAACACAGCTGCTGCCGAGGGGGTCTGCGCTGGGACCCGGTAATGACTGGCCAGGTAGGCCTGGATGGCTTCCAGGGGCGCCTGGGGGGTGACTAGGACTTTGTACTGGCTGAAGGCTGAGGGCAGGTAGCAGTGCTCCCGGTCGCCGTCGCAGACCATCACGAGCTGGTAGTCTTCACAGTGGCGCTGCTTGCACAGGCTCAGGAAGAGCGCCTCTGCCTGGCTGCCCACCTCATAGCTGAGCTGGTCTGCGAACAGCAGGCTGTAGACCTTGCGCCCCTGGGAGCCCAGGGTGAGGCAGCGGTGCAGCAGCAGTGCCACCTCCTCAAACGTGGTGCCTGGGGTGCAGAGCAGTACCTCGTCGAAGGAGGGCAGGGGCTGGTGTGGGGTCTGCATGTAGATGGCCAGGGCGACCGGCAGCACCTCGGAGTGGCCACAGATGATGAGGTTGGGCTGGCCTGCCTGCAGGCCGTTTGGGAGATGCCGCTCCACGGGGGGCCCACCCATCATTGCCAAGCATGCCAGACAGTGGCCGAGGGCCTCCAAGTCGAGGCAGTCAGGCAAGAAGGCACCCAGGCACCCCACGGACTGCTCCAGGATGACCCTCAGCTTGTCCACCAGGCTGGACTCAGAGAAGAGCATCAGTGGCAATTCTTCCATCACTGTCCTCACACGGTGACTGGTGGCCTTGCCATGGCACGCCCCAGAGGCCCGGACAACATCCCGTGGGGTGCAGTTGCGTTTGATGAAGGAGAGCATTGTGAGGGCAGCTGCGCTGGGGGCCTGCTTCTTGAGCTCGGTGCTCAGGTAAACCAGCTGCTCGGCCGTGTAGAAGTTGAGGTAAAAATGCTCCACCCGCTTCTCTGTCACAAATCTCTTCCAGAGGTCCAGGAAGTGCTCCATCTGCTTGCAGAGGCCTTCCAGCAGCTCGGTGACATCCCCGCTCCCCGTCAGCGGGATCACCAGGTCCAGACCAAAGTCCATGCGGATGGAAATGCCCTCCCTGGGGAAGCAGTAGACCTCGGCAGTCCAGGTCCTGAATAGCATGTTCCCAGCACAGTACAGGCTCATGAAGGCCTGCAGGAGCCTTTGCACGTTGCAGAACACCTGGTGACAAAGGAACCGTGAGGCAGATGTGGCAGAGCTGTACTGGAGGGAGACATCCCAGTTTAGAACACACACACACAGGTCTACTGTTCAGAGGACAGGCTCTGGCTGCTTCCTGCTGGCTCTCTGTGTGACCTTGAGCTCGCCCGCTTATGGCGGAAGGCCTTCAGTCCTCACTTACGGAGCTGGCCTAGGAAGGGAGCTCTCTCCTTTAAGACGCAATAAGTTATAAAGATAAAGGATATCATTTGCAAAGTACAAATGAACTTTAAAGAAAGAACCCATATTAAAGCTGAGACTGTTACATTCACCCACATACCTTTAACTATATGGTTACTTTTGATGAAGGATGCTCATCTACATCTTTAGGTATTTGGATTCCTGCCGATTTACACAGTACATGAAGCAATTTAAGTTTCTTTCTAAGAACGATCCCTTGGGTCATTTCCTCTTCAATGGGGCAAACCTAACCAGCAGCCTGTGACAGTCCATGGTATGGATCTTAAGAGGAACAGCTAACCCGAGGCCGCCCACCTGTGGCTACTCTCTGGGGCCGTGAACAGGCTTCTGTGTCCTCTGCGAGCCCCCCAGCTCCACTCTCCACTCTGCATGGGCTTGCGAGCCCGAGCAGTGAGAGTCCCCGGCCCAAACAGACGCACTGATGTCACCGGCTTAGCACGAACAAAGACACGGGTCCTCACCTCGGAAAATCTCTCCACCTCGTCATTGCTGTGCTCCCTCCTGCCAGACATCAGCATCAGTTTGTTTAAAAGCTCCCTCAGCTCCTCTAAGGAGTAGTCGCGTAGCTCCTCACGGCCACCGTGACCATCAGGAAGGGTCAGGTGCAGAACCGTGTCTGGGGAAATCTGTGAAACACCGCGCATTCAGAGGACGTCTTCCTGGCAACAGAGACCCCGGCCCCTGCAGCAGCCTGTGAGTGCCCCCAGCACCGCGCCTGGGATCTGGGACGGCTCACCTTCTGGCCGTCCCTGGGTGCCTCGATCACATAGATGCCTCTGCTGTTGATCGCCGTGGCCAGGGACAAGGAAGAGAGTTCCACAGACCCGTGGCTCTCCTTCACCGTTTTCAGCCACTCCAAGTTCCGGGCAGAATCACGCTGTTGGGAGGAAGCAGAGAACACCGCCACAGCCCAAGCAGTCATCTTTTTTCTCTTCCTCTTCCTGCCACGGCCTTTGCTGGGTACAGGGCGCAGCTGCCCACCCTGTGCCACGACAGGATCAGGGGCCACTCCTATGTGCCTTTCCTTTCCCTCTCAGGACCTTGTCCCCTGGTGCTGCTGTTTAGGTGCTAGGCTGCTCACCCACGTTCCCACCAGCGCTTAGTGCCCTGGCTGGCACATGGAGGGCACTTGGCTTACATTTATGGGTAAATGGATGCAGACAGGAGGCCACAAACCTGGCTCTCCGCTGGAAGGCCAGTACTCTGCCATCCCCAGCACAAAGAACCCTCTAAGGAGTGACGCTAGATACATGGGACCATGGAGCCTCAAGTTCTTAAAGTCCTTTTGTGTCCCTGAGTATAATCAGAAGAATTAAGGAAACATTGCAACAGCACTTCTGTTGAGATGTGAGCTTCCTACAGAGAAAATGCAAACAGCTCTGTCTGCTCATCCGTCTGTCTTCTGCAGCCGTCCTGAGGCTGGGCCGGGCTCCTGGCCAGATTTTCTACCCACTAGGCAAGTTAACTCAAACCCTGGTACAGATAGTTTACTTAACCTTTAAATGTTCATTTTGTCTGATAAAAAAAAAATCTATGTCAATTGTGGAAAATATGGAAAACACCCAAAAGTAACAAAATAAACTGACATTTGCTACTATTCAGAGAAAACTACTAACAACATTTTAGCCTATTTCCTTTTGGTTTTTTTTTCCATTATGTGTTTTGCACGGTAGAGATGACTGTTGTTTACGTGCAACTCTGTATCCCACTTTCTAACTTTCTAACATAACGAGATGGAGAAGGCATCTCCATATGTGAAGAGAGACTGTTTCTTCACCTCCCTGGAATGGCTACGCACAAGCCTACTGTGCAGACCAGCCATCCCGCGCACCGATGCGCCCCTGACGCTGCTAAGCAGTGCTCTGTGAAATCCCATCTGCTTTGGGGCAGAAGACGACTCACCAGTTTAGTGGGCAGGTCCTGGTCATTGTCCAGCGCCTTCCACAGTTCTTTCAGATGTTCCATGAACACACTGAAACCTGCCCTTGTGTCCAGCTTATACAGCAGGGACGCGTAGCCCTGCATGGCATCATGGAAGCAGGCCACCCGGTCCACGTCTATGTCATTCTCCCCCGCCGAGATGGAAGCCAGGTCCACAAACACTTTCAGCTCGTTGATGCCTGGGAAGAGCAGAGAGGTCAGCCTGACTATTCCACGGCAGCTCCAGCCTCAATCTCAGACAATCACCCTCAGTGCAACTACACATGGATATTTCACAAGGTTTTAGGGTTTTATCCACTTTTTGCTTTCATCCTTTTTTTTTTTTTGGCAGCTGGCCGGGGTGGGGATCCTAACCCTTGACACTGGTGATAACAACATCGCTCTAGCCAACTGAGCTAACCAGCCAGCCTACTCTCTGCTTTCAGTAGGAATCCCGGGCACGTTTGCTTTTGGGGTATATGTTTACTGAACAATGTCCCAGGCACTGTACTAGGCTTTTCTGTACCTTATTTACTTTAATCCACACAATATCACCATTTAAACAGAAAGAAACTGAAGCTCAGCTGGTAAATATGTTCACAATTAACTATAAAAACTGAGATGATTTTCCTTGGGCTAACTGCTAACCAAGCGATGTACACCAGAGAGCAACAAGGCTCCCAGTGAGTGCAGGCCCGGGCAGCCTTGGGTGCGGCAGCTGGAGGCCCCTCCAAATCCCCGTCGCACGCTGGCCTTCTCCCTTGCCTGCTCTGCCTTTCTTACTCCTCCTTCTCCCTTTGAATTTTCTGTCAATGGCACCTAAGTCACAGAACTAAAATGGCTGCCCAAAAATGCAAAACATCAATGGCGACGTTGTAATAAAATCTTTCTAGGGGAAAGAGCTCTCCTCGACCTCTAGCAAATATCAGCGGGATGGAAAAGCTAAAGGGCCCAATTTTTAAGAAAATGACCCCCAACTATTCACAGCAAGCACCCACAGAGTGGGCGGCAGTGGCAAAGGAAATAGTTTTTATACCAGTACGTGAGAAATACTGTCTTGAACCATACACCTGCCCACCTTCCTAAAGAATGCAGGTGACACCTTTCTGCCCTTCACACAGCATGTGGTCAAGGGGAGGTATTTCCTAAAAGTTTAGGAACACCACTCAGTGAACCATCTGAAAACTCTCTCCAGATACTGGCAACCTCAAAAGACTGATTTTACCTCCAAGAGCCTCCCGGACCCAGGTGATGAACTCCCTCTGCATGGACAGCTCCTTCAGACACTGGCACCGGCTCTCACTGATGTCCTGGAGCAGCTCTTTGGCACGGATAAGCTGCTGGTTGATCTGGTTCAGTTTTTCATGGCAGAAGTTTTCAAAGTCATCAGTCTGCAAGACAAAGCTCTACTGTGGACTGGCACTGGCTGTCTGGGCCCCAGAGTCTATGAGCAGCAACGCCGACCTCCCAGTGGACCCGCCATTCCCTGAGTTTCTGGATTTGCGGCTGCCCTGACACCAGGCCTGCCACGCTCTTACCACTGAATGACACACAACTGCCACTGCGGCCTCCCTGATCAACAGTAACTGCCGTCTCTCTGTACACAACACTCTAAGAATTTTACATGGATTTTAAAACCTTAATTGCCCGGCCAAAGCACATGCGGTTGTTTTTTCTGCTTTCCTGACAGAGAATCAGGAGCCACACGTGCTGAATGCTTAAGGGCACGCTGCTGGCACTCAAGCTGAAGTGAGTACACGACTCCAATTTGTGCTGAAGTTTAACCATTACTGCACCTGTCTAAACTATAACATAGGCCACAACATACCTCCTAATAATATGCCCACCTAAGAAGCGAGTCTTTTGCTTTCCGCTTTTTAACTGTAACAGAAACAACTTACCATTCACTGCTTCCAGCTGGAGATAGGAGACATCATTGAATAGCTGACAAAAATATCTCCCTTCTGCTTCTATAACCTCCAGAGATCAGACTACTCTTTACCAACATCTGATTACTGAAAGAGGATGATTGCCCCTTCCTGAATTATTGATCTTCATACTGACCCAGGAAAACTCTCAGTGGCTAAGCAGCAGTCACGCTACTCACATAGGCAAAAATGCAGCCCTTGATGTATTGAGGCCTCCAGTACAGTACGAGAACCCTTGAGGGAAGCTGCTAAATCATCCTGTCCAGCTTCTAAAAGCCAGAAAGCTTGGGGCTTTTAAGGAGTCTGAGGTAGGAACACCTCCCCATCCCCCCAAGTCCTTATCAAATAACTTACAAAGTTTAATAAAGTGCAAAGAACACTGAAGTCACCAGTCAATCCCAAACTCTCTTTGACCTGCAGGATGACCTTGGCTGAGGTGACAGCCTGGTGCAGGTGGTGGTATTCCTTGATCTGTCTGACCCGCTCCTTGATCCAATCCTTTTGGACGTGGCCATTCACAGAACACATGATCTGGAGTTCTTGAACCAGGTCACTGTATTTATTCACAAAGTCCTTGAAGATGACATCGACTTCTGCAAAGGTGACGTCTCCTGACTTCAGATTCTGATAAAGTTCAATGAACTTTTGGTGGCAAGGAGAATACACATAATCATACGCCTCTTCGAGGAGTATGCACCGCTCTGGTTCCTCCTCGGGCTCACTCAGCACCTCCAAGGCCTCTTTCCAGAAGATCTGGAAGATGTGACTGTCTTTTAACAAGTCAACCTTTCCAGCCATTTCTCGGACCTTGGGGCTCAGGTTGTAATGTGTTCTCCACTTGGAGGCTGAGGAGGTGGGCAGGCTCACAGTCATGGCTTCATTTAATCTTTTACTGCTGAGGTCTTCCTGGTGTCTTGTGCCAATTTCTTCAAAATCTACTTTGGAAACCATAAGAAAATGTCAGAAGTCAAACCTCTAACCACACGATCATTTTACTTACTTTCCCAGTATCTACTCTCTTCACTTCTCTAAGAAAACTCAGGTGAATACAGCTGCTGGGATTTTTTTCTCAGTAAGAATTCAAAGGTCTTTGACCTCCCCCTTGGGCTTGTTCATCAATTTTCATGATAAAGAAAGCGTCTGGTAGAGATGACAGTTCTAAAACATGCATTTCTTTTTACTCCCTCCCAAAGCCCACTCCAGTAACAGAACAGAAATTGATTTTAGTAAACTGGCAAGGATGGGAAGAGTAGAAAAGGAGATGACAGCAACAAAATTTTGTAAGTCGAAAACCAACTGTGCCAGTGGTGAAGGACTCATACGGCCTGAGGACGTGGAATCCTGAGGTCGCAGTGGGGAAAGCCGGGAGTCAACATGTTTACATCCCAGGACTCCCTAGAAGCACACACACTGCATGCTCAGGACACTGGAAATCGGGAGGTGGTAATGAAGTAAGGAGGGTGGGCTTCAAAGTCGGTTTAAGAAGTGGTCCAGTAGGTTGATCTTCACCCCCACCCCATGAGGCAGCAGGTGACCACCCCTTGTCCACCCTGGCAAGCTACAGGTGGTTTGTTTTCTAGAGGTTAACACAGAGGATCTCTGGATTGGAGGTCACAGAGACACAGCAGAATTCAGGCATGTGCTCAGGACACTGGAAATCGGGAGGTGGTAATGAAGTAAGGAGGGTGGGCTTCAAAGTCGGTTTAAGAAGTGGCCCAGTAGGTTGATCTTCACCCCCACCCCATGAGGCAGCAGGTGACCACCCCTTGTCCACCCTGGCAAGCTACAGGTGGTTTGTTTTTTAGAGGTTAACACAGAGGATCTCTGGATTGGAGGTCACAGAGACACAGCAGAATTCAGGCATTTCCAACACGCTTGCTCAAGAACCTAACAAAGGACATGCGCTATTCGATCTCAGCAGCAAGAAAGAGAAAGACCCACGTCACAAGAGAGGAGGAGGAAGGAGGAGAAACACACTAAAATTAGGGCAGGGTGAGCACAGGCGCCCCGGGGATGGAGAACCCACCAGCCCTCTCCTCCCTCTTGGCTCCCAGAAACCTGGCAGCCAGGCCTGCAGCAGGGCTCCAGGCAGGAGACCGGACACCTGAGCAGTCCAAGAGAAGACCTCACTGGCCAGCTCCAAGCCTTGTCGCAGCCCCCCACGGGGTGGCACGTGGTCCAGAAGCCTGACCCACACTCTCAGTTTCCAGTCCATCTGTCAGGCCTCTTTCAGTAAAAAAGAATCTCCAGACTGAGGAGGAAAATTTTTGACATGGAAAGTGGAGATCAAAACAAACCAACAGATAAAAACTTGGAGGAGACAGGAAACTATGCAAGGGGAACAAAGAAGAAAATTTCTACAACAAAAATATAAAAAATCTCAGAGAGACAAGATACTGCAACCATGAACAATGACAGGACAGTACAAAAGAAGGATCATTCAGATAGAGAAAAAGAGTTCCTTTAAATTAAATATATATATGAGAGCCGAAATAAAAAATTCAATGGAAGATCAAGTTCTGAGGAAGTCTCTCAAAAAACAGAGATGGAAAATGGGAAAGAAAAATTATGAAAGTTAGATGACCATTCTGGCAGGTCCAAATCAAATCAACGTGAATTCCTGCAAGAGAAATAATTCAGTAATTCAAGAGAATTTTCCAGAATGCAAGAACTTAGATTTGTAGATGAGAAAGACCTACATTTTAAAGCTCAATAAAGTAGATGGAAAATAGACCCACGCCGAGTCACATTATTATGGAAGTTCAGAATACTGGAGATAGAAAGATCTTAAGAGCTTCCCGAGGCAGAAACTACGTCACACGCAAAAGATCAGTAATGAGTACTGCCTCGGACTTCTCAACAGCCACCCTGCAGTGACAACGAAGCAGCAACCACTCAAATTTGGGAGGAAAACGATTTCCTCTCTGTAATTCCATACCTCGCCAGAGGACCAATCTGGTGCAAAGGCAGACATTTTTAAGCATGCAAGGAATCAGGAATTCACCCCTATGTCCCCTTTCTCAGGGAGGTAACCGAAGACAGGTTCAACCAAAACACAGGCATGAGAGGGAGCATGTCACGGATTCAGGGACCAGATCTTGCCTGAGAGAGAGGCAAAGGCGGACCTAGGGGTGGAGGCAGATTCGAGGGCTACACTTCCAGCCCAAAGATCCAGTGGGTTGTCTTGAGAGGAAATTCAAAGATCCAATGGGTTGCAACTCTTGAGTTTGGGATTGAATTAGAAATAAAAACAGTGAATACAATGCCTACAACAAGAGAAAGAATGTAATTCTACTGAAAACAAAGTTTGTGTAAGAAATGTAAAATGGTCACGGTCTATTTCGTGGTTCATTTAGAACTTACACAGTCGGGGTGATCTGAACCCTGAATAGTGATCCAACTCAGATCATGTGCTTGGGAGGAGCGGGATGGAGAGGTGCGCGTGCAGGGCACAGACTGGAGAAGCAGAGCCCTAAACCCGCATCCTCCACATGCAAGTGGGTAGGTAATGCTGACACTGGGAATGAATACTCAGGAGTCATGTAAGCATGTTGTTTAAAGGTATGGAGGTAAGTACCAAAAAGAATCGAAAATGAGTGAGGCTGATTCTCCATGGCAAATGCACGTATACCTTTGTTAATTTTTTTAAAAAAGCCTCCCCTCCAAAGTGAAGCCCTCCTGCTGGGGTCCGCTTTTACTGCGTTTTCCTCTAACCGCTCCTCCCCAGACCCCTCTGGTTTGCTGACTTCGATTCCTCGGAATACCACCTTGGATCAGGTGAGTCACTTCCCCGCACAGCTTCAGGAGGCTGTCCACATATCTACGCTCTTTCTTCAGAAAAAGCAGTTGTTCCTTCCTCCAGTCCAGCATCTCCTTCATGTCACATTTTTTCTCTTGGGCAGAAAGACTTTCTCTCACTGGAAACAACAGCAGCAAAGGAACCCAATAGGGTGAACACGTGCACTGTTTCCCGTGGCAGCTGGTTTCTTCCTCCTCCCGCGACTCCCCCTGCAACCCCCGCTCCCCCACACAGCCACGAGGAGGACAGTGGCCAGGAGGGCTCTGCGCACGCCACTCCCTCAGGACGGCCAAGCCGCGTGCTCAGCAGCGGGGAACAAACACCAAGCAGGCATTCTTACTTTGCCATTATTTCATCACTTTCCCATAATTTTCCTGAAATTTGGAAACACCCCCTATCAACTCACTGGCAGGAAGAGCTACTCACTCTACAGACTAAAGAGGTCACCTCTTTACAAAGGCACACACGCCAACAGAACACTCTCCTCCTGCTCTTCCGCGGTAGCCAGAAGTGCGCATCTCAACTTGACACTCACTTAACTGCCACATGTCGAGAAATTGACTCATGTGCGTTACGATCAGCTCCATTTGTCCAACTAAGACCATTCCATTCAGGAGTTCGCCAGCAACTTTTGTGAACACCTGGGTAGCAGTAGCCATCAGCTTCTTGCCATCCTCTGTAATATGTGCTAATATTTTCTCATCAGTTCCTGATCAAATTAAGAACACAGTTAGAACAGTGGACTCACTGCTTCCTGCCTCGTTGTGAATGCGGGAATTCCCAGGAGCTCCAGCCGTCCCGCCCCGACGGCCGCACAGCATGGGCAGCAGTCGGTCGGTTTTCCCAGTTGTGCCCATCCCTCCACTCGATCCTGATTCCACCCGCGCGTTCAGGTCTCACCAAATTCCTCTCCTGAATGACTTCCTTGTTCATGAAATGAGTCCCCCAGGGGCCAAAATCGCCCAGGAGAACCACACTGCTGAGACTTTAAAACCTGTGCCCCTTCAGTGTACTGAATATACGTCTTAGACTACATCTCCTCTAAAAGTCCCCCATCTTGAGAATCCCCGCAGCAGCAGAACAAACTGCGCCAGGGAAGCAGTCGTACCCAGCCAAGACTATGGAGATGGTTTTAAGGAGGCATTTTTGTAGCATGTGGAAACAGAAACATCAATGTGATAACTTTATATTCTGCACATCTTGGCTATCTTGCAAAACCTGGAATGTGAATTTTAGGATTAAATTAGACAACAGATTTTATTTTTCCTTTTTGTCTTTTTTCGTGACCGGCAACGGGACCGCAACCGTCAGTGTCATGCCCAGCCAGTGAGCAGACCGGTCTCTATATGGGATCCGAACCCTCGGCGGGAGCTCTGCCGCATTCCCAAGCGCCGCACTCTACCGAGTGCGCCACCGGGCCAGCCCTAGACAACAGATTTTTAAAATATGCTTAATTTAACCACCAGAAGATTTCTCTCCTGCAATTATCCGAGTAGTACAGTCTTATGAGAGGATCAAGCTTATCTGTACCATTAAAAAAAGAAAGAGCAGCTTTGTTTATAATTGCAAAAACATGGAAGCAACCAAGTTGTCCTTCACTAGGTGAATGGACATACAATGGACTATTACTCAGTGATAAAAAGAAGTGAGCTATCAAGCCATGAAAAGACACGGAGGAACCTTAATGCATACTACTAAGTCAAAGAAGCCAGTCTGTAAGGCTACATATAATATTACAATGATAAGACATTCTGGAAAAGACAAAACTAAACAGGAGAGAGTAAGGGAGGTGGAGCACAGAGGATTTTTAGAGCAGTGAAACTATTCTGTATGTTATTGTGATGGTGGATATGTGACATGCGTCTGTCAAAACCCACGGAAGAGTGAGCCCTTGTGTAAACTATGGACATTAGTTAACAATAATGTACCAGTACTGGCTCACCAGCTGTAACAATGTGCCACACTAACGCAGGACGTTAGCAGCAAGGAAAAACTGCACGTATGATGGGGAGAGATACATGGGAAATCTCCATACTTTCTGCTCAGTTGGTCTATCAGCTTAAAACTGCTATAAAAAGTCTACCAATTAGAAAAAACACAAGTATGCTCTTTTCAAGTGAGTAGCTTTTACTAATGTACATAGCACTGGCATCTCAATGATTTTATTCTGACCCCAGAACTATCCTGACATTGTAAGGAGCTTAGCTTTCTACAACAGCTCCAGGTGTCTGTTGAAACTAGGGCTTGGAATCGTCTAACCTGGAAGCTTTAGTTCCAGGTCCAGAGCTTTCCCACTGTAAGATATTAGGATAATGCATATCTCCCCCTCTTAGACCACAAACTACGTGAGACAAGGGAGGTGCAGGGAGGGCTAGGGGACTGGACAGGACTTAGTTTTGTTCAGGTCAGCAGTACTGGGATGGCCATTCTATGCTGATCTCAAAGAGTGGGTTTGAGAGTGAGATGCACTTGGGTTTGGATCCAGTTCTTAATGGTTATCTTTGAGACCTTGGGTAAGTCACACTGCGATCCACACTTCTATTTCCTCATCTGAAAATTGGGGACCTTGAAGAGGACTTCCAAAAAGGACACTGTGTCAGCACAGTCTCTGGTGCACAGTGGGCATTCAGTGAAAGGTGGCTTTTAGTTCCAGTTATTATTTGCAATGCAAGATGCCCTGAGCCTTGCGGGGTCCCTCCATCCAATCTCCTTCCTTGCTCAAACATCAGCCCATCCCAATTGAGTGTCAGGTCCAATTTCCTGCTCCCTTCTACTCCCCGAGTTCAGGAGGACACCAACTTCATAGAGCTGATGTTCCCAGCATCCCCTAAACATACCACACAACTTGAAGATATGCTTGACATCTGGCCACGTGAGCAGGTGTTTAAAAACCTTATCCGAGTCATCCACAGGTTCCCCATTGCTTCCAGGCCAGGACTTAGTGATCACAGCAGACACAAGTGTGCCACATTTCCGCAAATCATGATATGAGATTACCTCAAGGATACTGGTCTGAGACTATAAGAAAATTAAGAGGAGAATTTGTAAGTTTTTTATTGGTTTGTTTTTAAATAACAGAAGTAAATTACCACCCAATAGCTTTTCATCTACTGTAACTAGTTTTACAAGGCCTCAAAAAAAAAAAGGCAAAATAGTAAAATATTAACATTTCTTAGAGCGTTTCTGTTTCCCTGTGTCCTCTCCTTAAGCAATCAGCAACAGACCAAAACAAGGCACAGCACACACCCCCTCCGTGGGCATACCGCCAGTTTCTACATGGTTCCTGGACTTGCATATCATGAAAAAAATACTAAAAATGAGTAAACCTTTAATCCATCATATATGTTATGTTCCTAAGCCATAATTCTTGGAAAGACTGCCTATAAATACCACATACATTTTAATTCTCTGATACTCCACCAAGAAACAAAATGTTTTTCTTCATTATTGCAGAAATCAGTAAAAAACACAGGGTTAATTTATAATAGATACTTTCTGACATTTCAAAGGATAGAAGAAAACCTTATCTAACAACATATAAAAAGAATTATACACCAATGCCAAGTGGGATTTATCCCAGGAATTAAAGGTTGGTTTAACATTAAAAAACCAGTTAATATAAATCATATCAATAAAAAAATTGCATGATCATTTCAAACAGACACAGAAAAAGCATTTGACGAAGTCCAACTCCCTTTTATGATTAAAAAAAAAAAACACTAAACAAATTAGGAATAAAAGGGGACTTCCTCAATCCGATAAGCCACATCTATGACAAATCCACAGCTAACACCATACTCAATGGTGAAAAACTGAAAGCTTCCCCCTAAGACCAGGAACAAAACAGGGAGGTTCACTTTCGTCACTTGTATTCAGCATGGTAGTGGATGTTGTAGCTGGAGAAATTAAATAAGAAAAAGAAATACAGGCAATTTAGATTGGAAAGGAAGAGGTGAAACTATCTCTACTCACGGATGATGTGATCTTATATATTACAAAATCTTAAAGAATAAACACATACAGACACTATTAGAGCTAATAAACAAGCTCAGCAAAGTTGCAGGATACAAGGTGCGAGAAGCAGGTGTTATTTCTATACACTGGCAATGAACCATCCAAAAATGAAATCAAGAAAATTCCAGTTACAACAGCATCCAAAAGAATAAGGAACTTAGAAATACATTTAATGAAAGAAGTGCAAAACTTATACTCTTGAAATTATAGAATACTACTGAAATAAATGGAGAAACATCCCATGTTCACAGAGCATAAGACTTAACATGGTTCAGATGGCAATACTCCCCAAACTGATCTACAGATTCCCTGCCATCTCTATCACAATCCAGCTGACTTCCTTGTAGAAATCGACAAGCTGATCCTAAAATTCTTATGGAATTTCAAGGGACCCAGGATAGCCAACACAACCTTGAAAAAGAGAATAAAGAAAAGACTCACATTTCGCAATTTCAAAACTTACTAGAAAGCAGTGACAGTCAAGATAGTGTGATACCTATATAGGACAGGCATACAGATCAGTAAATAACGTCAGGAGTCCAGAAATAAACCCATACAACATTTGTGGTTAACCGATTTTTGACAAGAATGCCAAGAACATTCAGTGGAAAAAGTACAGTCCCTTCACGAAACAGTGCTAGGACAGCTGAACATCCACATGCGAAAGAACGAAGTTGGACCCTTACCTCACACCAAACAAAAAAAGTAGCTCAAAATGCATCAGAGGCCTAAATGGAAGAGCTAAAACTATTAAACTTCTACAGGAAAACATACGAGTAAATCTTCATGACCTAGGATTTGGCAAAGGATTCTCTGACGCCAAAAATACGGGCAGCAACAACAGAATAGTTATGTTGAACTTCATCAAAATTAAAAACTTTTGTGCTTCAAAAGACGTCTTCACAAAAGTGAAAAGACAACCCATAGAATGGGAGAAAATACTTGCAAATCATCCATCTGACAAGGGACTTTATGTGGAATACATAAAGAACTTTCACAACTCAATAAAAAAAGGCAAATAACCCACTTAAAAAATAGGCAAAAGATCTGAATAGACATCTCGCCAAAGAAGATATAGAAATAGCCAATGAACATACAAAAATACTCTTGATATCATTAGAAATCAGAGAAATGCAAACCAAAACCACAATGAGACACCACTGCACACCCACTAGGCTGGCTGGAATCAAAAGGTTAGACAACACAAGTTGCAGAGGATGTGGAGGAACTGGACCCTCACACCTGCTGGTGGGAGCAGAAACGGTGCAGCCACTGCAGAAATCGATGTGACAGTGTTTCAAACAACGGAACACAGAGCTACCGCATGACTCAGCAGTTCCATTCCTGGGTATATATATACCCAAGAGAAATGAGAATGTATATCCACACATAAAGGTGTACATGCATGTTTATAGCAGCACATCTATCATCGCCAAATACATTTCCCAAACAGGGGAGGCTGGTCACCTGGCAGGCTGTGCTCACAGCTTCAATGACACACTTCTCGAAGCTCCTGGCCACACTGTCCTCTAAGCCTGCGGTATCCCAGCAAGTGCTGCAGTAGGCAGAGATCTGGGACAGAGGCTTCTCCTGCAAAAATGGAAGGGGAGATTTCAAGAGATTTTGGATGGTGTGTTTTTTTGTTTTGTTTTGTTTTTAAAGATGACTGGTAAGGGGATCTTAACCCTTGACTTGGTGTTGTCAGCACCACGCTCTCCCAAGTGAGCCATGGGCAGGCCTGGGATGATATGTTCTAACAGGGGATGAAAGTGCCCTGGTTATTTTTACTTTCCCACCATTTTACCAGTTTCCCACAATTTTAACCTTCTCTCCACCCCATGCTAAGCATGTCCTCCGTGCCCCCTACCATGGAACCAGCAAGGCTAAAATTAAGAGTTTCTCTTCTTTCTCTGCGGAAAAAGCACCCAGCATGGCAGTTTGCAAAAACAGACACATTTTGTGAAATAAGTCATTTTTCCTTGCTTCTTTTTTCCTAAAAAAAAACCATTTAATAGTTTCATATAAGACTCATATCTTGCAAAAATGAATTTCCCTAGAATCACAGGCCTCTATTCAAAATGAAGATCATTTTTATGTTTTCTCCACTTGTCACTGTTTCATGCAGCCCCTGTCACTGACAGGCAATACTGGGAGCTACAGCACACGGGAGGGCTTCATGTTGTATGTGGCTAGGGTCCCGTGATGGCAAGATCTGGTTCCCTTATTCTTCTCTGGAATATCACAATGAAGCTCAGAAACATTATTCTGGGGTCAAACTAACAAGGGTGGATCAGAAACAGCAATACAAGGTCATGGTTTATCCCAGGCCCTGCAGAGTGAAGCTGTGTGTTCAAAAGCACCACTCATATCTCTTGGTTGTTGCTAAGGGTCTGGTCTTATCCAGCTTTCCCTCACCCCGAGCAGAGCGTCTCCTGACTTGCCACACCTGTTGGAGCCTCCCTTCCATATCGCCCAGCAGCGCCTCCTTCCAGCCGTGCTCCGCAGGGAAGTCAATTTCCACCAGCCGCCTCCAGACCTGCAAAACCCACACACAGGTGACAGCTGAACACTATGATGTGGTCCCATGAAAAAAGAAAGACCGACAGACCGTCAGATCCTACAAGAGCACCGGCTATGATGACACCCGGCCTTCATCCCATCTCTGTCTCTGTCACTCGAAAGCGGTGTCAGTGGCAATGCCTGGCAACCCCCCTCAGCCTTGGACAACCAGGGCTCTGACTGGACAGTAGCCACAACAAGCCTTTCCACTGTGCACCTGCTTTTTATTCTGAAAGGATTTCCCTCCAATGTTTTATTCTGAAAACTTCAGAATAAAACCTTACAAAAAGTTGCAAGAGCCGAACCACACCCATACCCTGTCAACAAGAGTCCCAGGCTGTCGACACTGAACACAACTGCCTCTCTCTCCTTTGTGCTCTTTGCGCTCTCTCCATAAACAACCATTCTCTTTGCTGAGCCGTGTGAAGGTAGTCGCGGACATCACATGTGGCCCCTAAACATGCGGCAGGCGTCTCCTGTCACCACACTCTGCTATATGACCAAGCGTCACCTGAAGGACAGTTAGCGTGGAGAGGACACCACCCTCCAAGAGGCGATCCCCACTCACATTCCTCCAGCTGTCCACCTAATGTCCTGACTGTTTGGATCAAGGATCCAACCCAGGGACAAGCACCGCATTCAGTTATCACACGGCTTTTCTGGGAGAGTTCCTGGCCATTTCTTTGTTCTTCTGTAATGTTAACAATTTTGAAAAGTTCAGGCAGACTGTATTGTAGACTGTCTCTTGACCTGATTATTTCATAATTTTTCTATGATCAGATTCAGATTAAAATTTTTCTGGCGGGAACACTATTAGGTTGAACCACATGAAAACGCACTTTTTGTAGGTCAGGCGATGTTGAATATCTGCACCTTCCCACTGCCACGCCTCATGTGCTTTGGGGATGCCACTGTCCCCTCAGAGCCTTGTGCTAAGAGGCTGATGAGACCTGCTGGCGCCTCGGGCCCCTTCTCCACCATGAGAATGAGCCTGGCTTCCAGAAGCATCAGTCCACGTCCATCTGCCCAAGCCCCGGAGAGAACAACTGCACCTGCCCTAGAGTGGATGTTTAGTTACATTTTCGTTATTTATTTATACATATTTTACCATTATTAGTTAATTTAACTTAGAATCATTCTCTCATGTCAGTACATCAATAATTGTCTTTAGCTCATAACTTAATGCTTGGGGGATTATATGTTATTCATTTAGAATCTTACAGTAATATTTAGTAATGCAATCTGGTTTGGGTGGGAATTAAGCCTGGCAGTGTGAAACTTCATGCAGCAATCAGAAGATTTTCTGTATCAAATCCCATCACAGTTCTTAGTCCTCAGCTGTTTCTCTGCAGCCACCTGTCCAGCACCCCTCTCGCCAGACATCCTGCCACCGCCCACCTTCTTGTGGTTGGTTTCTCTTTTCCTCACATTCAGATCAGTTTTGCCCAGTTTTCCTTCCAAACAGCTCTTCCCTTCATCTTTTTCTTCTGTTTCCAATGTCATAAACCCAACTCATAACTGTAGCACCGAGACAGACCCCAGACGTCCCCCTGCGAGCCCTGCCTTGGAGTGACTTTCCAACACGGCTCCTCACCACTGCCCACCAACACAGGGACCGCTGGCTGATCCGGGCGGCTGCCACGCAGAGCAGCAGAGAGACATGGGAGGGCTGTGCACCCAGCCACCAGCCTGTGGCCACGACTCTCCCGCAGTGATCACGATGGGTCACAACCCTGTCACAGCCCTACTCAAAAGCCTTTAGCAGCTTCTCTGCTTTCAGCAACACTCACCTCAATCTCCTCAGAGTAAGTAAACATGACACTTGAACTCCACCACGTACTCTGGAACATTTTCTTTCTGAAAACGCTCTGAAGCCAAGTTCTAGTGGTGGCAAGAGTCCGCTGGAAGGCTGTTTTGACCACATTTTTCTCAGCATCACTCCCCTGCCCTCCGGCTGAGTCCTATGATCACACGAGAGAGAAGGCTGAGTCGTCCTCTGCGGTGGGACACCACACCCTGCCTCTCCTCTGGCACTCATGGGTGACGCTTGGGAAGTAGCTACACTGAAGGGACACACAGAGACCTCGCCAGAAGCCCAGATTTTAAAACACCTTAATTTCCCCAGAACTTTCTGGGCTCACTGTGAAGGTGGGCAATACAGAAGAAAGGCAGAGAGAGAAGGGACAGTGCTGACACCCTCTGGTGACGTCCCCACACAGCAAAAGTGGGGAGTGGTTGGGTTGGGCTGGTCTGGTCTCTGCCCTGCCAATGAGCAGGCTCCAGAGTGAGAGTGACTGCGCCCCCTGCAGGACGGGTGAAGAACCCCAGATGGGGTGCCCTGCAGACTCCCAGGGCCCCTGCTCCTTGGTGACAGGAGACAGCCAGTCTGGTGGCCGAGAGGTAGACCTACATCCCTTCTCATCGATGCTTTCTTCCACGGGGCAGAACAAAATCTCCTCCACCACCTCACCCACAGAAAAAGCCCTGCCCCCGGGGGTCGAGACCCCAAGTGGCCTGCCCCTGCCCATCTGCACATTTACTGGGAAGCAAACACACGGCTCAGGCACAGGCCCTTCTCACACGGAGGCCGCTCCTGAGCTGTGTTAGTGTGTGTCCTTTTTCTTAAACACAGCCCCCAAATTGTGTAAGGACCACACCCACAAAACCTGGATCTGCTCATGTCCCTCCCTGGAAGCTCCTGAGAACCACCACATGGCCCTCCGCCTGGAGGCCAGGGAGAGGTGGTACCAAGCAGACGCGGTTCCTACTTTGAGGGAGGAGCTGACCGTGAGAGGCAGGGATGAACGGTCAACAGACAGATGGTGTCTTCCAGGCATACAAAAGGGGTGGAGGAAGGCACTGCGTGAAAGACGAGGAGACCCACTGGCCCAATGAGAGGGGGCCTTTAGGGGCAGGAGTGACTAAGACACCGGAGAGCGGGCAGGACAATGTGACATGCTGGCCCCGGCTTAAGGTTCCTGAATGGCAGTGCACTTTCCAGAACAATCCAGAAGGGTGTGGGTGCATGTCCCTTGTGATCTGCCCTGCCCACAACTTGGTTCCATCCTCAGGCATCACCATAACTTGAATGATGGCTCCAGCCACAAGTAACTCCTATTTTGTGTCCCCTGCACCCAAGCACAGGGCTGTGCAGAGACCATCAATAATCCTGAAGCAAAGGCACAACCCTACGGCTGAAAACCGACTCTAGAACCTTAAACTGTGTTCCTGCTCTCGCCACCAAGTGTCCAGTCAATCCTGCAACCCCTTATACCAGCATCCAGCCAAAAAGTTTATAAACACTTGCTGTGTATATATATATATATATATATATATTTTTTTTTTTTAATTTTTTTTGTGACCGGTAAGGGGATCGTAACCCGTGGCTTGGCATCGCCCGCACCGCGCTCAGCCAGTGAGCGCACTGGCCATCCCTATATAGGATCCGAACCCACAGCCTCGGTGCTACCAGCACTGCTGCGCTCCCAGCGCCGCACTCTCCTGAGTGAGCCATGGGGTCGGCCCTATATTTCTGTTTTAATTTTAGTCTTTCAAAGTTTTTTTTGTTTGTTTTTCTGTTTTTGTTTTTAATGGCACAGGTAGAGAATTTTGACCATAATGTGGGTAAGACTAATCTGTGATCCCAACCAACATTTAAGATAGTTATTTCTGCAGAGAATATACCCTAAATAATGGACAAATTTCTTTTTTTTCTTATTTTTTTGTCTTTTTTGCGACCGGTAAGGGGATCGCAACCCTTGGCTTGGTGTGGCCCGCACTGCGCTCAGCCATTGAGTGCACCGGCCATCGCTATATAGGATCCGAACCCATGGTGGGAGCGCTACTGCGCTCCCAGTGCCTCACTCTCCCGAGTGCGCCACGGGGACAGCCTGACAAATTTCTTAAACACAGTTTATTTGGAAGTTGGCACCTGCCTGTGATGGTTTAAACAGCACCCACTTCAGGAGAAACTTTCATCTCACTGACAAAATTTATTATTAAAGTTTGTCTGCAGCACTTTAAAGAAGAAAAACTGAAAGGAATCAGTTTAAAACATAGACTTAATTATTTTCTATCACTAAAGTGACAGTTCTGACTAGTAATACGTTAAAAAATAAATGGTCAGTCTAAATATAAAATCATCCATAAACTCAAGTAGGTGACACTGCACAGCAATGATAGAGAAGGAACACAGGGGTCACATGGACAGATCTGAGCCGTGATGCTGAGTGAAGAAAGCCAGACACAAAAAAGTTGAGAGATACGTGAAACCTACCTGCAGTGGTGGGAATCAGGACACTCGCAACCTCTGGCAGTGGTGCGTGAGAGGGGTGCAGAGGAGCCGGGGTGCCCTATGGCCTGACAGGACATGGGGTGCAGGGCATGCCTGGGTACAGAGGCACGGGCTGCGACTATGCATGTGTGGACCCTGCTAGTGCGTTTAAGTTACAATGTAAAGAAAAAAGCTCAAGTGGGAAACTGCATTTGTGGACAAGCATTTTGGGGAGTTAGGGTCCCCACAGTCCTCTGTGAACAACGGATTCAAGGGAAAAGAAAGGCCACCTCATCAGGGAGGCCTCGCCTGGCCTCCTGGCCACCCGCTCCAGCTCTGCAGTTTCCCCACGGTCATCTGATGGGCCATACATTAACTACCCCCACGTAAGCCCAAGGCAGGCCAGAGCGTGGACTTTGGTTGCTATAATATCCTCGATGCTTAGAACAGAACCTGGCACCAAGCCAGTACCCAATACATGTTTGATGACTGTATCAATCACGCCATCGCATTCCTGCCATCCTGGAATTTTTCTACCTTATCCTGGGTCCAATATTATGTGTATTAATTCCGCTTACCCCTGGAGGTTTAAGTATAATAATTCTGCAAACAATCTCAGCAGCTAAGGCAGGCATCTCATACAACTTTCGGTCTTTTGTGAGGCTGCAGATAGTTTCATGGAGTTTTTGGCACACAGTCAAGTAGGACGATGGCGAGGTCTCTGCAAAAATCCTACGCCACAAAGAGTGAAGAGGAAGCACTGAGGTCACTTAGGAGAATCGAGAAAACCCACTATCCACGACCAGTCCCTTCCCTTTAAAATACCCACAAGTAAGCCATTTATTTGACCTCATCTAAGTTGATGTCAGGACAATTTCTATCAGTCTTGAGCTTGTGACTAAGATAAAGAGGAAACAAAGCCCTCATGTTTTTTCTCTGCAGTCTGAGCTGTTCTAACAAAAGCAAGTTAAAATATCTCCAAGTGTGTATTTCTAAACATTAAAAAACAACGTAAATTTGAGAAAATATTTGTAAAGATACAAGGAGAGGAGAGAACGAGGAAGAAACCCGGAGGAACATGCAGTAGGGCAACCCCTTCCCTCCGTGCAGCCGGGTCTCACGCTCCCCACCCGCCCGGTGACCGCGCTGGGCGCTGGTGAGTCCCTGAGCACAGGCACAGAAGGCAGGATGAGAAAAAAACCACAGGGCAACTGTGATGCAGTGTTGGGGGGTCGCTGAAACCACAGGTGCTTGGCACCAGTGGAGCTGTGGCACTGCCACCTCTGTCCCTAACAGCCCAGGAGTCCAGGTGAGGTAGCAGTGGACATGCCTGAGCCTGGGAAAACACCCGCCACTCACTGGTCCATTTCTGTTGTTCTGCATTCTGCGCAATGCCCCCTCAAGTGCTGGAGATCACACAAATTTGCAGGAACAAATGATTTCAGATAATATACAGCAACCTTTGATTTTTATTTTAAACTGAACTGATTTGCAAAAAAAACGAATCAAGACTAAATGTTAAAGAAATGCAGGACACCAAACAAATATGCAATGTGATGATGATCATTTAGAAACAGGTGAAAAATGTATAGAAAAAAGACCAGAGGAAAATAAACCAAAATAATAGCAGCTGACATCTATTATTTCCCCATTAAAAGAAAACCAGATGGCTAGACTGTTGACATGAAAAGGGGCTCTCTACTGACTGATGTCCTTCCTATCACACCAGCTAATGTGGGACACTGACAGTCAACAGGGGACAATCACAGGACACCTGAGCCACACGGAAGACAGAGGCCACGTTTGGCTCTTCGACTTACTGGTTCTGATACATATCCAGGAGGTGCAACAGCATTTTAAAAATATTCTCAACATCCTAGAGCAGTGAAGCAAAGAAAAATAGGAAAAAAGATTTAATCATGACACCACTGTCTTTGCTAAAACAGAGCTGAAAAAAAATCCAACATAGATAAGATATAACTATTAATTTTTTCCTTCCTAATAAGTGTTAAAGTGCTCAAATATTAATCTTATATCTTACATAAATAAAATTCAGGATTTAAAATTGTACTATTTTCTCTGCCTAAAAAATGTGAAAGACAGCATCTATGAAGTGTATCACTCTCACGGTAACTTCTAATCCTGCCTTGCATGATCATGAATAACAAAGCTATTGTTTCCTTGAATTCTATTTACTGAAACAGAATAAATACAAGGAAATCAACCTTTAGCCTTTTTTTTTTTTTTTTAAAGATGACTGGTAAGGGGATCTCAACCCTTGGCCTGCTGTTGTCAGCACCACGCTCAGCCAGTGAGCGAACCGGCCATCCCTATATAGGATCCGAACCCGCGGCCTTGGTGGTCTCAGCACCGCACTCTCCCGAGTGAGCCACGGGCCGGCCTAACCTTTAGCCTTAAGAAATAATGACCTCTTCCGACTCTCCCATTTCTCAGAGCTTCACACTGTTCACTTTTCAGAAAAGAAGAACCATAGCTCTTAATGTTTAGTTTTTAACCTGCTCTTCTAAGCAAGCGCTCCAGAGCCTATCCCAGGTGACAAACCTGATTTGGGTTAGAGATTTCCCGAAATCCTTGCAGTCGGTAGTACATCCCTAGAAAACAGTCCAGGACACGAGCAGGGACATGACTCAAGTAATCAGTGAAGTTTTCCATGTAGGGAACCAAGTTACTCAGAGGCAGCAGACTGAACCAGGATCTGAAGAGATACTCATCTACTTTCAGCAAGTGTTTCTTCTTTTCCATCAGCTGAAGCAGTTGATTCCTGTATCAGAGAAAACAGGAGCAGAAAAAGGCGGCAATGAGGTCCGTAACGCAGACTGAGTTAAGTAAAACAATGCTAGAAGGGATCTAGAAAGTTCAGATGTTAAAAATGACTTACACGCGAGCCGGCCCGGTGGCGCACTGCTACAGTGCGCCGCTTGGAAGCGCGGTGGCGCTCCCGCCGAGGGTTCGGATCCCACAAACAGACCGGTTCCCGCTCACTGGTTGAGCGAGGTGCGGGCGCAACACCGAGGGTTGCAGTCCCGTTGCCGGTCCTGGTCCGGTATGGGCGCGACACTGAGGGTTGCAATCCGTTGCCGGACACGAACAAAGGAAAAAAAAAATGACTTACATGCTATGTGGGAAACAGAAATAGTGCATCAGAGGAGAGGCAGAGAAGAGCATATCAAGTTCACTAAGGTGGACGGAGATTGAGGACTCTATGCTGAGTGAAATAGCCAGGCACAAAAGGATAAGGACTGTGTGATTCCACTCACATGACGTCCACAGAGCTGTCAAAATCACAAGGATGAAAAGTAAAAGAGTGGGTGCCAGGGGTTGTGGGAGGGAGGAAAGGGGGTAGTGTTTCATGGGGACAGTTTCAGTTTTGCAAGATGAAAAAGTTCTGGAGATAGTGGTGAGGGTCGCACAAAAATGTGACTACAGTTAACACTACCGAACTATACACTTAAAATGGCTAAGATGGTAAATTGTATGTTGTGTATATTTTACCACAATAAAAAAAAAGAAGAATTCACCAAGAATTAGGCCTTTGGATGAATTACTAGTGAATGTCCTGGATCAAACAACCCAAGCGAGCTCAGCAAAGGTCCTTACACGATGCTGATTCAGTAACACCATATTGGAGACCTGAAAAGTTGACAACTGGCAAATAAATAAAGCAAGGTGCCACAGAAGTGACAGATATTATGTACAGTGTGTCGATGAAGGTTCAGTTCATGCTAAAGGCCACTTTCACCTGCAAGACAGGATCTTCAGGACCAGCAAGTGTTTGTCATGGTCCAGCACTAACAGCTAAATTTCTTCTAGATCATCTATGTGCCCTTGAAGGGCATTGAAAATATATATAATAATATAGATAATTCAGTTTGGCTTCAATTTCAAAAGGTTCCAATAATAGTGAAGAAACAATAATCTAATTTAGCTCACTGTTGTAACCCCTGAAAATCTATAAGCTGGCTCCCACTGCACTGGGGCAAGTGATGCAGGCAGATGGGACCTGGAATAGCGTCGACAAAAGACAAAGTAAACGGGGGAGGTTATCTGTGCTTGCAAATGAGTGATAGTATAATTTTTTCGTATCTAATTTTTATTTAATTCTTGTACTGAAATTTGATTTACAGTTTTTATTTTATAGACTTTGCTGTATGTCTCTTCTCTAAGAAATCTTTTCTGACCGCAACATGGGATTATTTAGATGTGTGATGTTAAATTTCCAAATATTCATGGATTTTACAGATATCAACTTGTTAGGGGCTGGCCCGGTGGCGCACTGCTACAGTGCGCCGCTTGGGAAGCGTGGCAGCGCTCCCGCCGAGGGTTCGGATCCC